TGGAGGAGGACTTTGTGGATTGGTGTCAGACATATGAGTTAATGTTGGACTTGTGGGATTGGGCAGCACTGGGTTGGGATGTTTTCTTGATGCACACTTAACTTTTATATAAAACTCTCTCTTAAACATGAGTTTATGTGGATTTGTTTCTCTAAAGTACCCAGACTAACACATGGTGCTTTCCCAACACTGTACTGCTTGATGTGTTTACATCAGATGCAGTGGAATATGAAATTCCATTATTGGGAGTTAAAATTGTAAATGCATGAATGATGGTGATAGGTGACTGTCGAGGGGCACCAGTGATCTCACTAAAAAGCTCGCTGCTATTGACTTGATTCCAACTCAGAGTGACCCTTGAGCACACCTGAGAGCTGCCTCCGTGGGTTTCTGAGCCTGCAACTCTTTACAGGAGTAGAAAGCTTCATCCCACTCCTGTGGCATGGCTGGTGGTTTTGAACTTGCGATTAGCAGCCCAACATGTAATCACTATACCACTAGGACTCCCCATTGAAAAAAACACATTTTCCACTCTTTTTTGTGAGTTCTTGGGGGTTGATGTCATCTACCAAAATGGTTCTAGTTGGCGGATGTAATGGAAGCGGTTGGAGGGGAATTTGGGAGCCCACGGAACTCATAACACATTATCATGATACTAGTTTTTGTATATTTTTCCTTTTTTTTCAATTTTGTCTTAACCTATGTGAGACTTGCTGGCAGGGATGACCTCTTGGCTAAATCATTTTGTTTCTTGTGAGGGAAGGTTTCATAGGCTGTTCTTTGATATCCTGAGGCTTGGCACTATGGACTATGCCTGGTTGAAAGCCGTCCAAAAGAACACAGTGGCTTGGATACTCCACGGATCAGCTTTGGGATAGGTTACCTGATACTGCCTGGCCTCCCCGAGCCTGCTTTGACTGCTCCTCTCTGTCCACATGGAAACCCCAAAGGATTAGGGCTTTGCTTCTTTTCAAGGAAGGAATCTGACTTTTTAACCAGAATAAGGAAGAAGGGAAAGCAAGCACGAGGACTGTACACATCTTGAAAGGGTGCTCAAAGGAAATCTGCTTCTGTGAGCTCCAGTTGCCTGAGACTCCTCCAAGATCGTGCCAAATTCTCGTTGCTTGGCAGTGGAATCACGTCAGCTGCTCAGTCTCAGGTCCCAAACTAGGTCAGCTTCCTTCTTGGTTCTCTGCAAATGTGGCTTGGGCATCTAAATGAATGAGGTGTGCCCTATTGGATTCATGCATGGAACAGAGATGCTTGTGAAGATGCCCAGATGTGTCTGCTCAGGCTGCAGTTCGTGTGGGGTAAGGACTCACAGGAGCACAGAACTAATGGGGTGTGTGGTTCTTACAGATGGGTGCGCAGTCATGACAGTCTTAGTATTTGAAGGTACAGAAACAGACTCTTTTTAAAAAGTAATCCCTACATAAATCATCTCTAGTAAAGAGAAACAAGGGCCCAGAGAGAAGTCTCGACCTGGCTGAAGAAAAGCAGGCCTTTTCATGATGAGGCTCAAGACCAATAACATAAAAAAGCACAGCGATTTTAGAGCTTCTTAGCTTTAGAATGACTTTGAGGTGATTAAAACCTTGTCAGGTGACCATAGTTAGCAAATCCTACACTCTCTTTTTCCTCCATTGGAAACGTCACATCTCCTGTCCTCTATTGCAAGGTCCAAAGCTTTTGAGTTTTGGAATTAACTCTGATGGTGGCACATGGAGGCCAGCATGCTCAACCACCAGCATGCTCAAGGCCCGACCACCATGGGTGACCCTGTATCATGACAACAGACAGTCATACCACAGGCAGACAGACTGACCCATAAGGTGAGTCACCTTTTTTAGCCAAGTATATTCTTTTATTTTTTTAATTTTTAAATTTTATTTTATTTGGGGATCTTCTAGCTCTTATCACAATCCATACATATATCCATTGTGTCAAACACATTTTTACATATGTTATCCCCATCTTTTTCAAAATATTTTCTTTCTACTTGAGTCCCTGTCATCAGCTCCTCATTTTTCCCTCCCTCCCTCCCCCATGTCCCCTTGATAATTTATAAATTATTCTTTTTGTTTTTCATGTCTTACACCGACTGCTGTCTAATTTCACCCACTTTTCTGTTGTCCATCCCCCTGGGAGGGGGCCATATGTCGATCATGATGATCGGTTCCCCCTTACTCCTCCCTCTACCCTTACCCTCCTAGTATCACTGCTCCCCTCATTGGTCTTGAGGGGTTTATCTGTTCTGGATTCCCTGTGTTGCAAGCTCTTATCTGTACCAGTGTACATGTTCTGGTCTAGCCAGATTGGTAAAATAGAATTGGGGTCATGGCAGTGGGATGGGGTGGGGGGGGACATTAAAGAACTAGAGGAAGGTTGTGTGTTTCATCGGTGCTGTACTGTGCCCTGACTAGCTCTTCTCTTCCTTGTGACCATTCTGATGGGAGGGTGTCCAATTGACGACTGATGGGCTTTGGGTCTCCACTCTGCTCTCCCTCATTCCCATTGATATGCTTTGATGACCAACAACAATTAATCGTATGGGGAAAGAAGGGTTAATCGTATTGGGAAAGTTGTAGGTCATCGAAGCCCACATGGAAGAAGCATACCAGCTTTTGCGATCTGAGGTGTGGAAGGGATCAGGTATCAGGCATCATCAGAACAAAAAAATCATATCATTGTGAATAAGGGGGAGTGTGGAGTGGAGACCCAAAGCCCATCTGAGGGTGGCCAGGAGGAGATGAGCCAGTCAGGGTGCAGTGTAGCAATGATGAAACATTGAACTTTCCTCTAGTTTTTTAATGCTCCCCTCCACACTATTATGACCTCAATCCTACTTTAAAAATCTGGCTAGACCAGAACATGTACACTGGTACAGATAGGAACTGGAAATCCAGGGAATCCAGGGCGGATGATCCCTTCAGGACAAGTGGTGAAGGTGGCGATACCGGGAGGGTGGAGGGAGAGTGGGGTGGAAAGGGGGAACCGATTACAAGAATCTACATATAACCTCCTCCCTGGGGGACGGGCAATAGAAAAGTGGGTGAAGGGAGACGTCGAACAGTGTAAAAGATGACAAAATAAGAACTTATGTATTATCAAGGGTTCATGAGGAGGTGGAGCTGGGAGGGAGGGGAAAAATGAGCAGCTGATGCCAGGGGCTTAAGTGGAGAGGAAATGTTTTGAGAATGATGAGGGCAACGAATGTACAAATGTGCTTTACACAATTGATGTACATATGGATTGTGATGAGTTGTATGAGCCCCCAATAAAATGATTTTAAAAAATTGTTGGTCATTGCCTCGCCTGGATGATAAAAAATGATTGTCTTATGTACAGGCATTCTGCCAATGGTCTCTGTAACTGTGAATGGTATTAGTAGATTCAGGATCTCATAGCCATGCCACCGCTTTTCTGTCATTTTGTGGTACTGTGGTGGCTTGTGCGTGGCTGTGATGCTGAGAGCTATGCCACTGGTATTTCAAAGGCTGGCAGGGTCACCCAAAGTGAACAGATTTCAGAGGAGCTTCCAGACTCCGAACAGACGTCAAAGCCACCTTGGCTCCCCACTTTGAAGGAAGTAGGCGCTGTAAACCTTATTTCTAGCTTTGGAAGTCGGTCAGATACGAAATATCTAAAGAATGAAAGTAGAAAGTTATTGGAGATAATGCTGGGGGATGGGTGCCTCAGTTCAAGGGCATGCAGATTGGGGCTGAAGAGGAGCTGATTTTTAAGTGGCATGAAGCCTGTCAGAATGGAGCCTTTGGGAATCTTCAGTTGCCGGTGGGACGCGACTCAAGGTAAGGAGAAACAACTGCAGAACTGTGCTAGCGATCAGAACTTGGCATGTGTAAAGTATGAATCTAGGAAAATTGTAAGTTGTCCAAAAGGAAATGGAACGCATCATTCTAGACCATCATTCAGGAAAAAGCAAAAGGCACGAAAAAGACAGGAAAGAAAGACAACCAAAGTGGATGTCCGAAAAGACTCTGAGACTTGCTCTTCAACGTGGAGCAGCTAAACCAAATGGAAGAATGGATGAAGTCAGAGTTGAATAGAAAATTGTAAAGAGATGCTCAAGAAACTGGAGCCAAATATTATAATGAACTGTGCTAAGACGGAGAATTAGAAAACTAAAATCCCTGGCTCATTCCATTCCGTGCAAGTCATCAGAGTAAACTCTGGTCATGACCAAAAATGTACATAGTTAATTGTGTTGTGTCGTGCACTATGGACTCATGCGGTTATGCAAGGTACATAAACATACATTGTACATATAAAGAATTCTCAGTGCATTTATGAATAAATTTAATTAATAAATAAAAATAAATATATGTTTTGCATTTTTGTAGTTGGTAGATCATTTTGACTTGATCATTTATAAGTACCGTGAGCACCTCTGGTCAAGCGTCTCTACTTCCATAAAGAGTTCCAGCCTGAAAATTGACTTGATGGCAGTGAATTTGGAAGTCCCAATAAGGAGCTCTGGTGGTGTAATGGTTAAAGTATTGGAGTGCTAACTGAAAGCAGCAATCCAAAAGGTCAGCGGTTCAAATCCACAAAGACAATTGTGGTGATCTGCTCCCATACAGCTGACAGAGCCTGGGAAGCCTGCTAGAACAGTTAGCCTCTGTCCTATAGGGTTGCTAAGAATCGGGATCAAAGTGATAATTAGGGGTTTGGATTTGGTTTAGTTTAAGTTCCAATAGCAAGTTTCTTGAATTTCTTGATTCTGAACTGAGTCTATAGTTTAGGGAGAGCTATGGGGCAATGATATAAGTCATTATTGGTTAAAGAATTCGTTTTACATGGTGTTACAGCTGTACTTATTTCTTTCCGAAAGAGATGCAAGGTTTGATTTAAAGAATTCCTCCATTAACATTATTCGTTTTATTTTAAAAGTTCAGTTTTTTATTTTACAGTTCAGGGTAAACTAAATGGATAAATAAATATAATTTCTGAGCAAATGAACACTGACAAAGATACCAAAATGGAAATCTATTAAAAATAGACCTTGTCTTTGATGTTTATTTCATATCATCTAAATACAGCGAGTTACACAAATGTACATTTTTATTTCACATCTTTGCTTGCCCGATACACACACTTCAGAACCAAGAACACGTTTGCAATATTCAAGCTGGAAAACCTTGTTTGAAACAAACCCAGTTCTCTGCTGCTTTATCCTTCCTGCACATGAACAAACGTTACCCTAAAGAACTGGAGGGAAAATCAAGACCAGGAAAGGGAAAAGTGTGTGATAACGGTACTAGTTTTTTTGTTTTGTTTTGTTTTTTAGAAAAAAAAAATCACATTGAATTAAAGACTCGAACACTTTAGTTGCAATCTATGAAAATGAAAATGCATCTGCATTGCATTCTGATGCTAAATGACTGCGTGCTCATTCTGTTCAATGTTGCCCATCAGATCTTTTGTATCGCTAGCTCCTGGAGTTGACCGACTATTAAAATAAAGGGTATTTTCAAAGGTCCCTTCTCCAAGGGGGTGCATCCGTCTTTTCTTGTAAAAGAAATAGGCAGTGAGGCCGGCACCAACCAGAATCATAAGGACGACAGTGACAACGACTCCTGTCACACCAGAAGATGCTTTGGAAGGGCCCATCTTTCTGAACTCGGCTGTAAAGAAATAAAATTATTAGCAAAAAAAAAAGGTGGGGGAGGCAAAATACCAAACACTCTAGAGAACACTGCAGCTTTACACCCTTTTGGAAAAAAACAAATTTTATAGATATTCTTGGAGCATCATTTTTCGAATAGAAAGTTGAGATATAAAATCAAGACTATCTATGGCAGAGTACGTAAGATGTTAAAATTATTGTTCAAGCATGTGCCATGTTTTTACTTAATAGATGTGTGAGCTATTTAATCAAACTTTTAGAATATACCCTTTTCCAAAATAATTTAGGGCTGCTTACAAACACATTTTTTTTACGTTATAACAAGATAAAGAAAATCATGATAAGCATACTAATAGAAAGCTAAGCTTGAAAGTGGGGAGAAGGAAGGGTTGTGGACATTTGGACTCCTGAGTATAACTGGTCGACAAGCGGCGCCCATCATAGTAAGACGAAGGTTGGCGGTAAGCTGCTCTGTCGTTTGCAGACATTTTTAACTCCCAACAACAACAAACAGGGAAATTTGATCAGTGACCCAACTCAGTTAGTGCATAAAATCTTTTTTTTTGTTTTTTATGTTGCTCAGAACAAAAAACCACAAAGCTTCTGAGAGAAATTTCTTCTGTAGGTTCTCAAATGAAACCCCTTTGAAATAGAAAAAAAACCCAAATCCAATAAATAACACCGTCTAACAAAAACCCCAATGGGACTCCTCGGTCTGTTTTTCTAGCGCATCCGACCACGTGGGTGAATGACTTGGTGACCAAGAGTAACGTAGCGCAGCGTCTCCGTAGGGCATGGGAAGGGGAGTGAGAAGGCAAAATTAGGGTCCTTAAGACAAACTGCATGACAGTTCTAAAATTTGAAATTTTAGAACACTTTTACCTTTTGTTGTCATCAATGTATGAGTTGGTTCAGCTTCCAGAACTGTGAAAAAGAAAGACAGAAACCAAACATCCGTAACTATTATTTGGCTTATAGACAGATGGAATCTTCCATATTTGGTCTATGGTAATATGATGTGTTTGTGTATGTGCATACAGTTATAGTTATAACTATAGTTATATTTTACAGTTGTATGAATATATGGGAAGATTTCCAAGGGAGATCCTTCAATAGTACCTGTAAATAATAAATGATAGGCTAACCGCACTCACGTCCACTGAGTCTATGCCAATGAATAGCGACCCTATAGGACAGGACAGAACTGGCCCAGGGGTTCCCAAGTCTAAATCTCGCCTCCTCTTTCTTCCTTCAGAGTAGATAGTGGTTTCAAACTGCTGACCTTGTGGTTAGGAGCCCAGCATATAACCACTTAGACCACTGAAGTCTAAGCTCTGACAAGATATTTGTGGGAGTGTTAGTTTATCTTCTTTCTTTTGTTAATCTATGATTTGATTAATGATCTCTTGGGAATGATATTAAAGGAAGTGGAATGGCATCGAATATTAAGAGGCGCATCATGGCACATGGTGGGCACTTACTGCAGTTACTTCCCATATTCCCTTTCCTTACATGGTCTGCCACTCAGTCTCAGAAGGAGTCTTGTATGATTTATTCTGGAATAAATCTTGCTTGCTCTCCAGAACCGTGGCCTCTTCTGGTTTGGGCTGGGTGATTGCCTCACTCCGATCCCCATCACACGGTAAGGTTCTGTCACCTTACTCTCTCAACTGCCTGCAATTTTGCAAATCCAAATGCACCAATATCCCATTCTGAATGTGTGAACAAGCCAGAATAATAATTATGTTGGCTGAGCAGGGGGACAGTGTGCTGTCTCACTCAGAGCTGCTGACAGCAATTGAGCACCACGTCAGCATGGATGATTTTCACGGACCAGGGGTGAAATCTGGCGATCACAACATCCTCTCACCCTGGACAGCTTCCTCTTTGGAAGGAAGAGGTGCCCTGGGGCAAAATGTTCTACTTACTCTTTGGTCTTTTACAAATGTATCCTTTATAGGAAGAACAGTGGATGTTATTCCAAAACCCAGACGCTGAAAGCAAATGTACACAGTCATTGCGTTCGCCAGTGGGGTCTCCTGTATTCCAGTTGACAAAGGAGACGGGGTTGTTGTTGATCCAAAGCCACATCCCTGTTTATCACACAAAGCCAAAGAGGAGAAGTTCAACACCATCCACCTTCACTCGGAAATAGATTCTGGAAATGGTCGCATGATGTTTTGAATGTGATTCATGTTCCCGAACTGGGCACACGAAAACATTGAGGTGGCAAGTATACTTTAATGTATGTATATACATCTCACCATGAAGTACTTTAAATAATACCTCTTAAAGTAAGTTCTGCTTACTCACACAAAGTTTGTAAGCATGCTTTTTCACACTAGAATTAATGAAAGTTTACAAACAGATCTGAGATGTTTTTATATGGCGTTAGTTAAAACGTTTCTCTAATCAGTACAAATATTTATAGTTAACCCACTTTTTTTCTGGCATAAGATAGAAAATGCTTTATAAAATCTCTTAAAAATAACATGACTACAGGAAATAGCACCTTTAGAGATATGTGAATCACTTATGTTTTTAGTCCTTAGATTCTAAATAAAAATATGATTTTGAGCTTTTAATTTTTTCACAAATTAGTCATTACTTAAAGCAAGGATGTCTGGAACTAAAACGTTGCCTAATAAACGACATTTTGAATAATGTGTGATTAAATAATGGCTCTGTCAAAATTACCGTCAACATTCCTGTACAATCCTATCCAAAAATTGGTTTTACTCTTCAGGGGCTCCACACGGTATGACAGAAAATCTGATTCAGCAGCACTTTCTATAGAAACCAAAGTGGAACCTGAAAAACAGAAAATGACAAATGGGAAACTGGGAAACTAGCTGGATGATTATGATATCACAA